GGTGCCATTAGCAGCCATCTGTAATAGCAGTTCTGTCTCTACTCACCATGGGTCTCACGTTGTCAGTCTGAAACTAAAGGACTGAGAATAGCAATCCTCAGAGATTCCTTCTAGTTTGAAAATGTTATGACTCCAATAACTATTCTATAAAACAGAACAAGTTCAAACATCAGATAAGTGATTGAAGAAATCAAACTTTAAGGCAACTTCTGATTCTGAGAATATAAGATCCTAACCTCAGATCATTACAAAGGAGAATATAAACAAATAAATGTTTCTGTGGAATTTTCACTGACCTAATGGCAGAACCCAAAAAAGCCTGCTTCTTAGTTTGCTTTCCCATCTTGCAGTATGAATCAGAATTTTTAAGACAATGTTGACAATATGGGATGCCTTGCATTTAGCATATGACCGTGTGGGCTTTTTGCCTACATTTTGGCTACTTGGACATGACCATAATTACAGGAGTGATTCCTTAAGAGAGACTAAGGAGTTGGCTTGGATACACCAGCCCTAGTTTTTTCCCGAAGGCTTCAACAACACTTTTATCTATTTTTAAATTGCAGTTATTCATGCCAAAATAAAAGCTGTTCAGAGGAGTGGCTGCAATGAAGTAACGACAGTGGTGGACGTGAAAGAGATCTTCAAGTCCTCATCACCCATCCCTCGAACTCAAGTCCCACTCATTACAAATTCTTCTTGCCAGTGTCCACACATCCTGCCCCATCAAGATGTTCTCATCATGTGTTACGAGTGGCGTTCAAGGTAGGCACAAAACGGGCAGGAGGAACTATCTGCACACTGCTCACAAAAACATAAGTCTCATTTAGCAGTTATGGTTTCAAAAACAACAAAACAGTGCCAGTAGTTCTTTTTTAAAAGGTAGTTTTAACAGCTGCCTTTGTTGAGCTATCACGAATATCAATTAATTTCTCATAGAATGAAGGAAAAATAGGAATGTGAGTATTTAAATGAAATCCTTAAACATCAATTTCAGGATCCAAACTGATTTCAAAACTTAATAGGCAAGTAAATTATTTTGAGTAAGAACAATTCGTTTCAAATCATTCAAACAATCTTAGTGTGGCAAATACTGAATTTTTAAAGGCCTCTTTAATAACCTACAGATTAAGTAAGTAGCCATTTGAGACTATGGTTTCCCATGTTTTCCTTGTATACACTTCACAATATTTGCTTGATAGAGTATTGTATACACACACATACACACACAAACTTTAAGGTGACTTCTGAATCTAAGAATATGTGATTCTCAATTCAAATGATCACAAGGCAAAGTATCAACAAATATATGCTTCACGCAGACTCGCACACATATACACGCATATCTCCAGCTGGGAGTATTTGCCTTCCCCACTTCTCTTTCCTTGTCATCTTTTCATATATTGGTACATTTTTTATAATATAAAGTCAAACTCTTCAGCCCAGGTTCTGGGATGGTCCTCATAACTTACTCAATGTACTTTTCTAGCAAAATCACTCCTTTTTATAGAGTAAGTCATCCCTTTCATTCTCTGCTATTAATGCGCATCTGTTTCTTCTTGATATAGCCCAAGACCCCATTCCTTCAAAAAGAAAAAAAAAAAATCTTTTAGAAATAGCCTTACTTGAATAATTTATTATTCTGTATTCTGTCAGTACTTGAGTACCCTCCTCACACTGTGTGTATTGCCTTGTGTTCTCAGCTTTAAAGTCATTCCTCTGCTTATATCTTGTCTCTCTAAGGGAGCAATTAATGTTTCTGGGCTCATCTTTTACATGGTGTTTGTATCTGCTGCGGTGCTAAATGCCGTGGGGAGTGTACCAGGTTACCAGTCCTTAAATTCTATGTAAGAGATGAATGAATTATAAATCCATCCAGTAAAAATATTTTTGAATGATTGGGATTTACGTATTCACAAATTATCCTAATGATCGTTTGGAAAAACAAACTGGTTAAGGGCATGTGAAGGAGATTTTGAAAATAAGAGTGATGAGGGGAAATCTGCCCATGAGACCTGCAAAACTGATATAAAACTATGCTTGTTAAAACCATGTG